GGAGGGCCGAGAAGACCTCCTCCTGCCCGCGCCTCCCTCCCCCCCCTCCTCCACCTCCTCCACCTCCTCCACCTCTTTCTTCCTCATTCCGTCCATCTCCTCGCTCTTCCTAATCTCAAGCTTCTCCTTCCTGACCTCCTCCTCCACCACCTCCTCGCTCGGGCCTTCCTCCCGCTCGTTCTTCTGCGGCCTCCTGCCCCGCTGCCTCCCCTCTTCATCCTCACCTCTTTTCTTTTTCTTCACTCCCCCACCAACCCCGCCTCTCTCCCCTCTCCTCTCCTGAACCCCACTCCTCCGGCCATCGCCGTTATTCCGATTCCTCCGTACGCCAGCGACCTCCTCCTCCTCCTCCTCGCCGCCAACACCTTCCACCCGCTCGCCTCCACCCGCCGTGTCGCTCTTCGTCGCTTCTTCTTCAAGAACCTCGTCGCGGTTCGCAGCTTTCTGTGGAAACCTCTCGGACTCGGCTACCTCCTCCTCCACCGCTCCCTGCCGCTGTCCTCGAATCTTCGTATCCACCCCCTGACTTCCATCAGCTCGCGATCCACCCTCCGTTTCTCTTCTCCCCTCCTCGATCTTCCCCACCTCCTCCTCCTCCTTCCAATCTTCCTTCACCATCTCCGCATCTTCTGTCAGTATCCTCACCCCCATGCTCCTCCTCCTCATGCCTACTTCATCATTGCCTCCATTCTCACCGCTGCTGATGCTTCTGCTGGTGTCTCTGCTGTTGCTGTTGTGGATGTCACTCTTGTTGTTATTGTTGTCACCATCATTGTTGCCACTGCCATTCTTGTTGTTTCTTCTGTCACTACTGTTGTTGTTGTTATCGTCACCTCTGCTGTTGTTGTCTCTGTTGTTGTTGAATCTGTTGTTGTTGTTGTCTGGTAAGCGGGCCACGTGGTCTCCGGCCATCCGGTTTCTCTCCTGGCTGGTGCCCTCTGCTCCCCGTGCTATCATCATCATCTTTATCTTCATCATGATCCGGCGTGTGACTGAGCGGCGGTCCGGCGGCCACTGTGACAATGGTGATGATGGTGACGATGGAGACGATGGCGGCGATGGAGATGATGGCCTCAATGGAGATGATGGCGACGATGATGATGATGATAATGGCTGCTGGAGTAGATTTTGGTTTCGGCCAGCCGTGGGAAGAACCGGCTCTCCTCCTTCTCCGGCTCCTCCACCACCTCCTCCTCCACCACCTCCTCCACCACCACCTCCACCACCACCTCCTCCACCACCTCCTCCACCACCTCCTCCACCTCCTCCATCTCCCCCTTCCTCTCTCCCTACCTCTCCTCCACCACCTCCTCCACCTCCTCCACCACCTCCTCCTTCACCTCCTACCTCTCCTCCATCTCCCCCTTCCTCTCTCCCTACCTCTCCTCCACCACCACCTCCTCCACCTCCTCCACCACCACCTCCTCCACCTCCTACCTCTCCTCTACCTCCCCCTTCCTCTCTTCCTACCTCTCCTCCACCATCTCCTCCACCACCTCCTCCACCACCACCTCCTCCTGCACCTCCTCCTCCCTCTCGTCCTTCACCACCGCCTCTTCCACCTCCTCCCTCCAGGTCAGAGGGCCAATGTTCAAGTGAAGAATACCCCAGTTTGCCCGCAAACAAAGAGGTGGCAGAGGAGGAGATGGAGTGAGATGCAGCATGAGGGATTGGAGTGGAGTTCGGGAGATCTTGAGATGACCTCCGAAGATCTTCCACTCCTTCGACTTTAGGGCCTGCAAGAGGATGATGATGATGAAAACGATGTTAACAATGATGACTCATGGATGCATCAAAGAGAAAGATCCCCCATATATCATTGACAAGCTGCAGGGGGCAAGTGCCGTTAGCACCTATGAAGTCCAGCATTGTGGCACACGAGGGGTGGGTGGCCAGCACCACGCCCGGCCGCCTTTGTCTCCCCAGCGGCGATGATTTTCACATCACACCAGATAATTATTTGAGGCTAAGTCGACAAAGGGAAATCCCAGGACCGGTCAAATTAATCTTCACTGGTGTTGGGCGTGAACAGGAATCTAACTCGAGTCACCGAGTTCATAGCGCAGCGTGCAAACCACTACACTACCACTCCCCACAAACTCATCACACAGAGACCCACAGACTCACCACATAGAGACCCACAGACTCATCACACAGACCCACAGACTCACCACACAGAGACCCACAGACTCACCACACAGAGACCCATAGACTCACCACACAGAGACCCAGAGACTCATCATACAGAGACCCACAGACTCACCACACAGAGACCCATAGACTCACCACACAGAGACCCACAGTCTCATCACACAGAGGCCCATAGACTCACCACACAGAGACCCACAGACTCATCACACAGAGACCCACAGACTCACCACACAGAGACCCACAGACTCACCACACAGAGACCCACAGACTCACCACACAGAGACCCAGAGACTCACCACACAGAGACCCAGAGACTCACCACACAGAGACCCACAGACTCACCACACAGAGACTCAGAGACTTTACCGTCACTCCCAGTACAGGCGTTGTCTCCGCCAATTAATGAAGACAGCGGTGACGATGATGATGATGGTGGTGGTGGCGACGGTGGTGACGATGGTGGCAATGATGATGATGGTGGTGGTGGTGATGGTGTTGATGAGTTACAGACGAAGGGTGAACACGTCACCTCGCCCAGCTGCATAGCACAGACAAAACACGCACACACAGATAACACAAAGCTCCCCCGTGTAGCCTTAACAGGCTGTAGGGGCAACTGCTGTTAGTAGCGAGTAGCAGCACCGACAAAGGTCGGCACTGTGGCACACGAGGGGGTGGGTGGCCAGCACCACCACGCCCGCTCACCCGGCCACCTGGCGGAGACCAGGTGCCACCACTCCTTGTCTCTCTCCCCACTGCGCCAGAGACGAGGAGTGGTGCCACTTGTTCAAATTGTAATGGCTGCCGTCACGCTCAATGGCGGTGGGCATGAGCAGGAATTTAACTCGGGTCTCTACCGCGTTCACAGCGCTGCGGCGTGCTAACTGCTGCACCACCACTCCCCACAATCAGTGTCTGTGTGTGTGATTGTTGTTGTGTTGTTATATTGTTGCTGTGTTGTTCTTGTTGTTCTTGTTGTGTTGTAGTTGTTGTTACCGTGCATGTACACAGCTGGCACGGCCGCGTGGTGTCTGGACTGAACGACTGTAAATTCACCACCTTCCTGCCCTCGTAGTTACAGTCTGACTCGCACACCACCACCACCACAACAACAACACGGGCGAACAGTCAACAACAACAACCACGACCACAACAACAAACATTACCACAATCATCGCAACTGCCACACAACCGTACAAGTGGGTGGGTAAGCAGTTGGGTTCGTGGTAGAGTGAGTGGGTGAGTGAGTTTGTGAGTGAGTGAGTGGGCGAATTGGTAGTGAGTGAGTGGGTGTGTGAGTGAGTGAGTGGGTGAGGGAGTGGTAGAGTAAGTGGGTGGTGTGTGAGTGAGTAGGTGAGTGAGTGGTGAGTGAGTGAGTGGGCGAGTGGTGAGTGGGTGAGTGAGCGAGTGGTGAGTGGGTGAGTGAGTGGTGAGTGAGTGAGTGAGCGAGCGAGTGAGTGAGTGGTAGAGTAAGTGGGTGGTGTGTGAGTGAGTAGGTGAGTGAGTAAGTGAGTGGGTGAGTGAGTGAGTGGTGAGTGAGTGTGTGGGTGAGTGAGTGTGTGGGTGAGTGGGTGAGTGATTGGGTGAGTGAGTGAGTAGGTGAGTGAGTGAATGGGTGAGTGAGTAGGTGAGTGAGTGGGTGTGTGAGTAGGTGAGTGAGTGAGTGAGTGGGTGAGCGAGTGGTGAGTGGGCGAGTGAGTGAGTGAGTAGGTGAGTGAGTGGGTGAGTGAGTAGGTGAGTGAGTGAGTGGGTGAGCGAGTGGTGAGTGGGTGAGTGAGTGAGTGAGTAGGTGAGTGAGTGAGTGGGTGAGTGAGTGGGTGAGTGAGTGAATAGGTGAGTGGGTGAATGGGTGAGTGGTGAGTAGGTGAGTGGGTGAGTGAGTGGTAGAGTAAGTGGGTGGTGTGTGAGTGAGTAGGTGAGTGAGTGAATGGGTGAGCGAGTGGGTGAGTGAGTGAATGGGTGAGCGAGTGGTGAGTGAGTGTGTGGGTGAGTGGGTGAGTGAGTGGTAGAGTAAGTGGGTGGTGTGTGAGTGAGTAGGTGAGTGTGTGGGTGAGTGGGTGAGTGAGTGAGCGAGTGGGTGAGTGAGTGAGTGGGTGAGTGAGTGGTGAGTGCTGCTGGCTCACCGGAGCACGAGGGGCAGCACTCCCCCTCGGCGTGGAAGGGGAAGGGGCAGGCGGGCGGGGGGCAGTGGCGCGCTGAGCACAGCACGGAGCCGGCCTGCTCACACACACACAGACAACGGTCCCCCGGGTAGCCTTCACAGGCTGTAGGGGCAAGTGCTGCTAGTAGCCAGTAGCAACAGAAGCGTCTCTGAAGGCCGGCCACTGTGGCACACGAGGGAGTGGGGGCCAGCACCACGCTCACCCGCCCGCCTTTGTCTCCCCCTACACGCAGACACGTACAGATACAAATATACTCATGATGATGTTGCTGATGATGATGTTGCTGATGATGATGGAGGGTCACCAGACAGACGCAGACGCTGCAGGGGTCGGAAGGGGAGGAGAAGTTCTGTGTGGAGTTGTACGCCTCCTCGTTGTAGAGGCAACCTGCACCACGAGCAACATCGTCAACAGCGTCAACAGCGTCAGTGTGGACACAATTTCTGCTACTGATGATGTTATAATTAATGATGATGATGGTGGTCATTGATGGTGGTGGTGGTGATGGTGATGTTGATAACGATGGTGGTGATGGCGGTGATGGTGATGATGGTGGTGATGTTGATAACGATGGTGGTGATGGTGATGTTGACAACGATGGTGGATGATGGTGGTGATGATGATGGTGATGGTGGTGATGGTGGTGATGATGGTGATGGTGGTGATGATTATTGATGGTGGTGGTAATGGTGATGTTTATAACGATGGTGGTGATGATGGCGATGGTGGATGATGATGGTGATGGTGGTGATGGTGGATGGTGGTGATCGTGATGGTGGTGATGGTGGATGGTGATGGTGGTGATGGGGTTGATGCCACGGCTCACCAGCGTGGACACTCCGGGCAGCACTGTCCAGGCGGTGAGGGCAGGGGGTGAGTGCAGCGCTCCAGACACTCGGTGCGGTGACACGAGATGACCCCATCAGCCTGACGACTCTCACACACACACAGACACACACACACACACAGACACACACACATACACACACAGACACACACAGACACACACACACAAACACACACACAGACACACACACACAGATACACACAGACACACACACACAGACACACACAGACACATACACACACACAGACACACACACAGACACATACACACACACAGACACACACATAGACACACACACAGACACACACACAGACACACACACACAGACACACAGACACAGACACACACAGACACACACAGACACACACACAGACACACACACACAGACACACACAGACAGATACACACAGACACACACACAGACACACACAGACAGACACACACACAGACAGACACACACAAACACAGACACACACACACACACGCACACAGATCACCCCGTGGGGCGCCACGCTGGAGAGATGTTAAACAACTAAACTACAACTTGTCGTTTACTTGTAGTTTAGTTGTAAGGCCACTGAGCTGTGGAGCTTTGTCAGAAGCGACGTGGCCATCACAAACGATGTCAACCACGTGGCTGACAGCGTCACGTGGGAGTTTATAGCAGCCGCCATTACTCGGCAGCAGCAGCCGCCATTACTCGGCAGCAGCAGCCGCCATTACTCGGCAGCAGCAGCCGCCATTACTCGGCAGCAGCAGCCGCCATTACTCGGCAGCAGAGGAGCGGCTCTCAGACTCCACGTAGCAGCGGCAGGCGTCGTCAGGGTCGGGATCGAACCCACGACCTCCTGCAGACCGGGCGAGGTGGTCAACATCTCGTGGCCACTGGAGAGCTTACGACTGGTGAGGAGTGTATTGGCGAGCGGAGTATTAGTGAGTAGCGTACAACTACTCTTTGGTTTTTTCGGTAAAGTCACGTAGGTAAGAAATTAAATTAAATACATGAAAACAACTGAATTAAATCACGACGTTTCGGAAGCAACACAAGCCTCCGTCTTCCAAAGCGTCGTGATTTAATTTAGTTTTCATTTATTTTGTAAAAATTTTTACCTACCGTGACCTCACCGAAAAAACCAAAGAGTATGAATCCTTGCAGTCACGAAAGCTTCAAATCGAGCGTACAACTGGTGAGCGATTGGTGAGCGTAGGTGGCGGTGAGCAACGCAACAATGGGCCAGCGATGGGTGAGCAGCGCACGTGGCGGTGACCTCACCCCCTGGTGGTGACCTCGCCACGTGGTGGTGACCTCACTCCTGGTGGTGACCTCACCCCCTGGTGGTGACCTCACCCTATGGTGGTGACCTCACCCCCTGGTGGTGACCTCACCATGTGGTGGTGACCTCACCCTGTGACCTCACCATGTGGTGGTGACCTCACCACGTGACCTCACCGCGTGGCTCACCTGGCAGGTGCACACCACGCAGGGGTCCCCCGGTGACCAGATCTGTCCCAGAGGCAGCGACGCCCCATTCTCATCCACGCGGCAGCCTGCCCCACCCACACACCACACATCACATACACACACACCACCCACACACCACACATCACATACACACACACCACACACACACCACCCACACCACACACACACCACACACACACACACCACACACACACACCACACACACACACCACACACACCACACATCACATACACACACACCACACACACACCACCCACACCACACACACACACCACACACACCACACACACACACCACACACAGCTAGAGACAAAGCTACCCCAGGTAGCCCCACCCCCCACACACCACACACAGCTAGAGACAAAGCTACCCCAGGTAGTCCCACCCACCCACACCACACACAGCTAGAGACAGAGCTACCCCAGGTAGCCCCAACAGGGCCTGCAGGAGCAAGGGTTGTTATTAATAACCAGCGGCAGTGGCCATATCGGTACCACAAAGACAAAGCTCCCCCGTACAGACTGCAGCGCCTGTGAAGGCTGCCGGCACGGTGGCACACGAGGCGGTGGGTGGCCAGCACCACGCCCGGCCGCCTTTGTCTCCCCAGTGCTGGCGATGTTCACACATCGCACCAGCTGCTCATTTGAGGCTGAGTCGACCCAGGGAAGGCCCAGCACCGGTTCAGATAATCGTCACCGACGGTGTTGGCCGTGAGCGGGAATGGAAGTCGGGTGCGTGCCGGGTTCGTAGCGTGACGCTGACCGCTGCACCGCCGCTCTCACCCACACACAGCTAGAGGTAGTGGTGGTGGTGGTCACCTGTGGCTGTGGTGGGGGTGGTGGTTGTGGCTGTGGTGGTGGTGGTTGTGGCTGTGGTGGTGGTTGTGGTGGTTGTGGCTGTGGTGGTGGTTGTGGCTGTGGTGGTGGTCACCTGTGGTGGTGGTGGTTGTGGTGGTTGTGGCTGTGGTGGTGGTGGTTGTGGCTGTGGTGGTGGTCACCTGTGGTGGTGGTGGTTGTGGTCACCTGTGGCTGTGGTGGTGGTTGTGGTGGTTGTGGCTGTGGTGGTTGTGGTCACCTGCGGCTGTGGTGGTGGTGGTGGTTGTGGCTGTGGTGGTGGTGGTGGTTGTGGCTGTGGTGGTGGTTGTGGTGGTTGTGGCTGTGGTTGTGGTCACCTGTGGCTGTGATTGTGGTGGTGGTGGTTGTGGTGGTGGTGGTTGTGGCTGTGGTTGTGGTCACCTGTGGTGGTGGTGGTGGTTGTGGTCACCTGTGGTGGTGGTGGTGGTTGTGGTGGTTGTGGTGGTGGTGGTGGTTGTGGTCACCTGTGGTGGTGGTGGTGGTTGTGGTGGTTGTGGTGGTGTCGCAGGTTGGACAGCAGTCGCCGTGGTTGTGCACCAGCGCGGTGCCCACGCAGTCCGGGGTGGCACAACCAACCGCAGCACAACCAACCACACCGGCCTGCAACCACAACAACAACCACCACAACAACCACGACAACAACCACGACAACAACCTCGACAACAACCACTACAACAACCACTACAACAACCACTACAACCTCGACAACAACCTGACAACAACCACGACAACAACCTCGACAACAACCTCGACAACAACCACAACAACCACAACAACCACGACAACAACCACGACAACAACCTCGACAACAACCACTACAACAACCACTACAACCTCGACAACAACCACGACAACAACCTGACAACAACCACTACAACAACACAACGTTATTCACAGGTAGTTTTAGAGCAATTCAGGCTGTGTGTGTACACGTGTGTGTGTGTACACGTGTGTGTGTGTACACGTGTGTGTGTGTACACGTGTGTGTGTGTACACGTGTGTGTGTGTACACGTGTGTGTGTGTACTCCCAATTGGTGATGGGGCAGTTGTGGAGAGAGTGGAGAGTTTCCCATACCTGGGCAGTGTGCCCATGACCGGCTCCGGTTTTACAGCGAAGGTCTCACTCCGAATCAGTCGAGCGGCATTATCTTTTCATCGGTTGCGTAACGCTGTGTGGAAGCTACCTGGTCTGTCGCTCCGCACAAAGCTTCAGGTCTTCTCGGCCACATTCATTCCCTCCCTTCACTACGCTTGCGAAACGTGGACCCCCTTAATGGAACATCTTCGCCGGGTAGAAACATTTAGGCTGGCCTGCCTACGATCCATCCTGGGTGGAACCAGGCTGGATTGTGTGAGGAGCTCACAAATCCTTGAAAGATCTGGGCAAAGTCCCAGCGGTGAGCTCCTCCGGCAGGCAAGGCTGCGTTGGCTGAAGGAGGAGGTGTTCCGGCTGGTTGAGAGAAAGCGACAGGCCCACTCAAGTCGTTTACAACATCCAACATCGGAGAATGAGGAGGCTGACCGCAGCCTTCGCTCGGAGGTTCAAAGACCTGTGCAGCGCTGCAAGGAAGGGTGGTGGGCGTGGGTTGCTGAGGAGATGGAGTCTGCCTCAGTAGCCCGCAATCACAAATGTCATCAAACAAGTAACTTGCAGCGCCACCCCTACCACCAACCTTCAGGGAAGAACTGTAACCCCATCTGCGACCCCCAAGTCCACGTCTGCAAGTTTGCTGAGTGGACTTGCCGGCGACTGGTACCAGCAGTGTCAAGATCGGCCTCTGTGGAGGAGGCTCGTGAAGGACGCTACTGGGCAGTTGGAGGCAGTCGCCCTCCAACAACAACGGAGGGTGGAGGAGCGACGCTCACAACAACGAGCGGAGCGCCGGGCGGCTAAAGCACAGCAGGTTGGCACAGTAGGGGGCACAGGTGGTGCATCAGCCAGTCATCTCAGCAACCCATGGCACCTGGGCCTGTCCTGAGACCTCCTCCCGTCAGCGAGCCTTCGACACTTCACGTGGCCTCAAAGTGCACCTAGCCTGGCACAGGCACCGTGGTGACTGTCACCGGCACTTAGTGGCGAATGGTGGGTATTGGTATTAGTGTACACGGGTGTGTGTGTACACGTGTGTGTGTGTACACGTGTGTCCAGGTGTGTGTGTGTACACGTGTGTCCAGGTGTGTGTACACGTGTCCAGGTGTGTGTGTACACGTGTGTCCAGGTGTGTATGTACAGGTGTGTGTGTACTCAGCCTCAAAAGAGTAGTAACTGGTGCTGTGTGTAGTGAACATCGCAAGCAACTGGGGGAGAGACAAACACGTCCGGGCGTGGCGCTGGCCACCCACCCCCTCTGTGTGTGCCACAGCGCCGGTAGCCTCCATAGGTGCTGCTGCTACTCACTAACAGCACTTGCCCCGACAGTCTGTCTCAGGCTATCCGGGGGATCTTTGCCTTGTGTGCGTACCTCGCACACGCAAGTCGTGCAGGGGCTGTCCTCAGGAGTGAACACGGCGCCCTCCGAGTACACGGCTCCCTGGTGCACACACTCATCTACACACACACACACATACACACTCGTCTACACACACATATACACACACTCATACACACACACACATATACACACACGTGTACACACACACATACACACACACGTATAGACACACACACACACGTGTACACACACACACGTGTACACACCCTCATATACACACACACACGTGTACACACACTCATCTACACACACACACAAACACGTGTACACACACTCATCTACACACACACGTGTACACACACTCATCTACGCACACACACACACGTGTACACACACACACTCATCTACACAAACACACACGTGTACACACACACTCATCTACACACACACACTCATCTACACACACACACACGTGTACATACACATACGCACACTCATCTACACACACACGTGTATACACACTCATCTACAACAACAACTGCCATTCGCCACTAAGTGGCGGTGACGTCACCACGACGCTTGTGCCAGGCCATGTGCACCTTGAGGCCACGCGAAGTGTCGACAGCTCGCGGACAGGAGGAGGTCACGGGACAGACCCAGCAGGTGCCATGGGCTGGCTGACTGGCAGATGCACCTGCTCTACCCCCATTGTGAGTAGGCGTGTACACACTCACCTACACACACACTCACTCACCTACACACACACTCACCTACACACACACTCACTCACCTACACACACACTCATCTACACACACATACTTGTAAATGAGTCAGTGTGTGTGATGAGTGTGTGTAGGTGAGTGCATGTGTGTAGAGTGGCAAAACAACCCCTACCTCCTCGCGGTGCCGGACGGGCAATGCTGTCGTGGACAGTGCTGTGGGGGGGAGGGCCAATTCCAATTGGCCCTCTCCCCTCATGGCCAAATGGGGGCTCTGAATGGGTGCGTGGGGCTGGTAACCCCTCCACCTTCAATAAATTACCACCAAACCACGACTGAAATCTCTAACTAATAAGCTTGTGCCGGAGGCCCCGGGGGGACAGGCGTCTATTACGTCTCCTGGCCAAACCCCATCTGGTGGAGCCAGGAGATTTAATCTTTACCCTCGGGGCTCCTCCAGAAACAACGAAAAACCACTGCGGGTGGCCACGTGGAATGTTCGAACGCTCACTGCGGAGGAGAGGCTGCCACTCCTCTGTCGGGAGCTGGACCGGTACCGCCTGGATCTTTGTGGCATTCAGGAGGTCCGGTTGACCGGCTTTGGCTCCTACCACCATGAGGGGTGGACAGTCCTCTACTCGGGGCAGGAGACTGCCAAATTACAGGGTGTGGCTCTTCTTTTGAACAAAATAATGAAAGGGGCGTGGGAGCGTGGCGGTGAGGTGTGGGAAGCTGTAAGCCCCAGGCTACTTTGGGCTCACCTTCCCTTCAACCGGAGGCGAGGAATGGTGGTCGTGGTTACTTATGCCCCCACCGAAGACGAACATCCGTGGAGGGATGCAGGCAAGGCCGATGAGTCAGATGCCTTCTATGACCTCCTGTAACACGTGCTGGCTAAAGTGGCCCCTCGGGATAGAGTCATCTTGTTGGGTGACTTCAATGCCCGAGTTGGTCATGATGCTGGCACCTGGTCTGGAGTCCCTGACCCTCTGTTCACGATCATTAAGGACCTTCATGATGGTGAGCGGGCCCGGGTAAAACTACGTGGCCGGGAGTCAGAGCCTTTCCCTGTACACCTTGGGGTGCGACAGGGATGTCCTCTGGCTCCCACATTATTTAACATCTATTTTGACCACGTAGTTCGTGAAGCCTTCAATAGCTGTACCGGGGGAATTTCCATTTGGTACAGATATAATGGGAGGCTGATCGATGCCCGGGTGCGGTCAAGGGATGGCTCTCTATTGGCTAACCACGTTATGTATGCCGATGATTTGGTAATAGCTGCTCATTCAGAGGAGGAGATGGAGACGCTGCTGCTGAGACTGGAGCGTGCCACTAAGAGGTGGGGCCTTACCATCAGCTCCACCAAAACTAAGCACCTGCCTGGGTATTTTGTACCATCGGACACTCCACCACCACAACTCCCAATCGGTGATGGGGCAGTAGTGGAGAGAGTGGAGAGTTTCCCATACCTGGGCAGTGTGCTTATGACCGGTTCCAGTTTAACAGCAGAGGTCTCACTCCGAATCAGTCGAGCAAAAATATATTTTCATCGGTTGCTTAACACTGTGTGGAAGCTACCTGGTCTGTCGCTCCGCACGAAGCTTCAGATCTATCGGCCACAGTCATTCCCTCCCTTCTCTACGCTTGTGAAACGTGGACCCCCCTAATGGAGCATTTTCGCCGGTTGGAAACATTTAGGCTGGCCTGCCTACGATCCATCCTGGGTTTAACCAGGGTGGAACGTGTGAGGAGCTCACAAATCCTTGAAAGATCTGGGCAAAGTCCCATCGGTGAGCTCCTCCGGCAGGCAAGGCTGCGTTGGCTGGGTCATGTAGCCCGCATGCCCAGCCACCGCATGCCTAAACAGCTTTTGTTCGGCCTGATCGAGGGGGCTAAACGGGCGCGGCACGGGCTAGAGAAGAGATGGAGTGATGTGGTACAGGAGGACGTGGAGCTGAGTGGACTTGCCGATGACTGGCACCAGCGGTGTCAAGATCGGCTTCAGTGGAGGAGGCTCGTGAAGGACGCTACTGGGCAGTTGGAGGCAGTCGCCCTCCAACAACAATGGAGGGCGGAGGAGCGACGCTCACAACAACGAGCGGAGCGCTGGGTGGCTAAAGCACAGCAAGTTGGCACAGTAGGGGGCACAGGTGGTGCATCAGCCAGTCATCTCGGTCATCTCGGTCATCTCGGTCAGTCGACCCGTGGCACCTGCTGGGTCTGCCCCGTGACCTCCTGCCAGCGGGCGTTCGACACTTCACGTGGCCTCAAGGTGCACCTGGCCTGGCACAAGCATCGTGGTGACGTCACCGCCACTTAGTGGCGAATGGCGGTTGTTGTTGTGTGTAGGTGTGTGTGTGTGTAGGTGTGTCTGTGTGTAGGTGTGTGTGTGTGTGTAGGTGTGTGTGTAGGTGTGTGTGTGTGTAGGTATGTGTGTGTGTAGGTGTGTGTAGGTGTGTGTAGGTGTGTGTGTGTAGGTGTGTGTGTGTAGGGGTGTGTGTGTGTAGGTGTGTGTGTGTAGTTGTGTGTAGGTGTGTGTGTGTAGGTGTGTGTGTATGTGTGTGTGTGTAGGTGTGTGTGTAGTTGTGTGTAGGTGTGTGTGTGTAGGTGTGTGTGTGTGTGTAGGTGTGTGTGTGTAGGTGTGTAAGTGTGTGTAGGTGTGTGTGTAGGTGTGTGTGTAGGTGTGTGTGTGTAGGTGTGTGTGTGTGTAGGTGTGTGTTTGTAGGTGTGTGTGTAGGTGTGTGTGTGTAGGTATGTGTGTGTGTAGGTGCGTGTGTGTAGGTGTAGGTGTGTGTGTGTGTAGGTGTGTGTGTGTGTAGGTGTGTGTGTGTAGGTGTGTGTAGGTGGGTGTGTGTAGGTGTGTGTGTGTAGGTGTGTGTGTGTAGGTGTGTGTGTGTGTAGGTGTGTGTAGGTGTGTGTGTGTGTAGGTGTGTGTGTGTGTAGGTGTGTGTAGGTGTGTGTGTGTGTAGGTGTAGGTGTGTGTAGGTGTGTGTGTGTGTGTGTAGGTGTGTGTGTGTGTGCTCACTGGGGCAGGCTGGGCAGCAGGCGAGCTGCGTGGGGTGCTCGCAGAGTAGAGGGGGGCACGAGGGGGTGACGCAGCTCACAGAGCCACCCTGGAGACACAGAGACCACCACCACCACAACAACAACAACCACAACAACCTCAACAACCACCATGGAGGGAATGATGGTGGTGGTGATGATGGTGGTGATGGTGGTGATGGTGGTGGTGATGGTGTTGATGGTGGTGATGGTGGTGGTGGTGATGATGGTGGTGGTGGTGATGATGGTGGTGGTGGTGATGGTGGTGGTGGTGATGATGGTGGTGATGGTGGTGGTGATGGTGGTGGTGATGGTGGTGGTGATGGTGGTGGTGATGATGGTGGTGATGATGGTGTTGATGGTGGTGATGGTGGTGGTGGTGATGATGGTGATGATGGTGGTGGTGGTGATGGTGGTGATTATGATGGTGATGATTATGATGGTGATTGTACTCACAGAGCAGACACAGATGGTGCAGTTCTTGGGGTCTTCGTAAAAAACCTCCTCCTCACTCCGCACCCGTCCCTCATGGAGACAACCTGAACACCATCATCACCATCACCCCCTTCATCACCACCATCACCACCATCACCACCACCATCACCACCATCACCACCATCACCATCGTCATCACCACCACCCCCATCACCACCATCACCACCACCATCATCATCATCACCACCACCACCACCATCACCATCACCACCACCACCATCACCACCACCCCCACCACCATCACCACCACCATCACCACCATCACCACCACCAGCACCACCACCAGCACCACCACCACCATCACCACCACCATCACCACCACCATCATCACCACCGCCACCACCTACACCACCACCAGCACCACCACCACCACCAGCACCACCACCAGCACCACCACCATCACCACCACCACCAGCACCACCACCATCACCACCACCACTATCACCACCGCCACCACCACCACCCCCACCACCATCACCACCACCATCACCACCACCAGCACCGCCACCACCACCATCACCATCACCACCATCACCACCACCAGCACCACCACCATCACCACCACCACCACCATCACCACCACCATCACCATCATCACCACCACCACCACCATCACCACCACCACCATCACCACCACCACCACCACCATCACCACCACCACCACCATCACCACCATCACCACCATCACCACCACCACCATCACCACCACCACCACCACCATCACCACCACCATCACAACCATCACCACCATCACCACCACCATCACCACCACCACCACCACCATCACCACCACCACCATCACCACCACCACCACCATCACCACCACCACCATCACCACCACCACCATCACCACCAGCACCACCACCATCACCACCACCACCAGCACCACCACCATCACCACCACCACCATCACCACCACCACCACCACCACCCCCACCACCATCACCACCACCATCACCACCACCAGCACCGCCACCACCACCATCACCATCACCACCACCACCATCACCACCACCACCACCACCACCCCCACCACCACCACCATCACCACCACCACCACCAGCACCACCACCATCACCACCACCACCACCACCACCATCACCACCACCACCACCACCACCACCATCACCACCACCACCACCACCATCACCACCACCACCACCACTACCACCACCACCACCACCACCACCAGGCTGTGCACCTGCTGGGCTCACCGCGGCAGCTCGAGCAGCAGGCTGCAGGCGTCGTGCCGGGCTGCGGTTGTGAGCACGGAGCCGGCGGCGATGGGCACTCAACGCCAGCGCACGGCTCCCGCACATCCTGGACCACCACCACCACAACAACAACCACAACAACAACCACCACCACCACAAAGACAAAGGTCCCCCGTGTAGTCTTAACAGCCTGTGGGAGCAAGCGCTGTTAGCGAGTAGCAGCAGCAGCAGCTGTGAAGGCTACCGGCACGGTGGCTACACACAGAGGGGGTGGGTGGCCAGCACCACGCCCGGCCGCCTTTGTCTCCCCAGTGCTGGCGATGTTTACTACATTACACTCCGCTACGCCGGCTACTCGTTTGAGGCCGAGTCGACCCAGGGGAGGCCCAGCACCGGTTCAGAGAATCGTCACCGACGGTGTTGGCCGTGAGCAGGAATCGGAGCCGGGCGCGTGCCGGATTCGTAGCGCGGCGCTAACCGCTGCACCTCCGCTCTCCTGGAACCAGCGCCACCCAGAGACGCGCCAGCAGGTCTGGGTCACCGCCGTCTCCCCCTCCACTCGGGCGGGGCCACACAGGGACAGCTGCCGCTGGGGGTGCCCCTGGTCATGGTCGTGATGGCGGTGGTAGTGGTAGTGATGGTGGTGATGATGGTGATGATGATGGTGGTAGTGATGATGGTGGTAGTGATGATGGTGTTGGTGATGATGATGATGACGATGGTGATGATGATGGTGGTAGTGATGGTGATGATGGTGATGATGGTGGTAGTGATGGTGATGATGGTGATGGTGATGATGGTGATGATGGTGATGGTGGTGATGGTGATGGTGGTGATGGTGGTGATGGTGATGGTGATGATGGTGATGGTGGTGATGGTGATGGTGGTGATGGTGGTGATGGTGATGGTGGTGATGGTGATGATGGTGATGATGGTGATGATGGTGATGATGGTGATGATGATGGTGGTAGTGATGATGGTGGTAGTGATGATGGTGTTGGTGATGATGATGATGACGATGGTGATGATGATGATGGTAGTGATGGTGATGATGGTGATGATGGTGATGATGGTGGTAGTGATGGTGATGATGGTGATGGTGATGATGGTGATGATGGTGATGGTGGTGATGGTGATGGTGGTGATGGTGATGGTGGTGATGGTGGTGATGGTGATGGTGGTGATGGTGGTGATGGTGATGGTGGTGATGGTGGTGATGGTGGTGATGGTGATGGTGGTGATGGTGGTGATGGTGATGGTGGTGATGGTGGTGATGGTGGTGATGGTGATGATGGTGATGATGGTGATGCCCCACCTGACATTCCCCTCCAGGGGCTCCGCACGCCGTGTCGCCGCTCTCAGGGGCGGCCGCCAGCGACACGGCGGGACTCCGCAGCTCTGCAACCAGAGCACACGGCAGCTGCTGCTGCGGTGGTGGTGGTGGTTGTGGTGGTGGTGGTGGTTGTGGTGGTGGTGGTTGTGGTGGTTGTGGTGGTGGTGGTTGTGGTGGTGGTGGTTGTTGTGATGGTTGCTGTGGTGGTGGTTGTCGTGGTGGTGGTTGCTGTGGTGGTTGCGGTGGTGGTTGTAGTGGTGGTTGTGGTTGTCGTGATGGTTGCTGTAGTGGTGGTTATGGTGGTTGTGGTGGATGTGGTGGTTGCTGTGGTGGTTGTGGTGGTTGTGGTGTTTGTGATGGTGGTGGTTGTGGTGGTTGTGGTGTTTGTGATGGTGGTGGTTGTGGTGGTTGTGGTGGTGGTGGTTGTGGTTACCCGTGCAGCTGTATGAGCCAGGGAAGTTGTTGCAGCCAAAATCACAGAGAGAAGCAGAACCCAGCGAGCACTCGTCCACATCTAGAGACACACACAGAGACACACAACATCTACAGATATACACAGAGACACACACAGAGACACACATCTACAGATATACACAGAGACACACACAGAGACACACATCTACAGATATACACAGAGACACACACAGAGACACACATCTACAGATATACACAGAGACACACACAGAGACACACATCTACAGATATACACAGAGACACACACAGAGACACACATCTACAGATATACACAGAGACACACACAGAGACACACATCTACAGATATACACAGAGACACACACAGAGACACATCTACAGATATACACAGAGACACATACACAGATATACAGAGAGATATACATAGATATATACAGAGACACACACAGAGACACACATCTACAGATACACACAGAGACACATACACAGAGACACATACACAGATATACACAGAGACACACACAGAGACACACATCTAGAGACACACACAGAGACACACATCTACAGATACACACATCTACAGATACACACAGAGACACATACACAGATATGCAGAGAGATATACATAGCTATATACAGAGACACACATACAGACACACACAGAGATACACACAGAGACACACATCTACAGTGAGGGACCTTAATCCCATAGAAAATCTATGGAGGGAGCTGAAGGTTCGAGTTGCCAAACGTCAGCCTCGAGACCTTAATGACTTGGAGAAGATCTGCAAAGAGGAGTGGGACAAAATCCCTCGGGAGATGTGTGCAAACCTGGTGGCCAACTACAAGAAACGTCTGACCTCTGTGATTGCCATAAAGGGTATTGCCACCAAGTACTAAGTCATGTTTGGCAGAGGGGTCAAATACTTATTTCCCTCATTAAAATGCAAATCAATTTATAACATTTTTGACATGCGTTTTTCTGGATTTTGTTGTTGTTATTCTGTCTCTCACTGTTCAAATAAACCTACCATTAACATTATAGACTGATCATTTCTTTGTCAGTGGGTAAACGTACAAAATCAGCAGGGGATCAAATACTTTTTTCCCTCACTGTATAGATATACACAGATATATATAGATATATAGAAAGATACACACAGAGATACACACAGATACACACAGAGATACACACAGATACACACAGAGACATAAACACAGATACAAAGAGACATGTACTTAGATAGAGACAGTTATTCATGTAAAGAGAGAGAAGGTTAACATGGCTGTCTTTGGTGAGTGCGTACCTGGGTAGGTGAGTGACTATGTGGGTAGGTAAGTAGGTGAATAGGTGGGTAAGTGGGTAGGTGAATAGGTGACTGGGTGGGTAGGTGGGTAGGTGGGTAGGTGAGTAGGTGGGTAGGTGAGTAGAT